TAATGTTATGTGTACAGCGCTTCAAACACCAGCAGTGGGAGCGCACTGGAGCCAGAGTAAGTCGTAATGCGTACACAGTATCAATCTGCAGGATAGGGCCAATTAAAAAATTAAGGGCAATATAGTTATACAAGGAAAACAGACAGGATTGTGAGAGGTGCAAAAGACAATAACTTGGCAGGAGAGGAGATCCACACCAAGAAAAGGATGAGTGGAAATCTCTCCATTGAACTTGTATTCAAAGAGCTGGCCTGGAGGGTTCATCATACAATATGTCTAATGGAACATTCCAAGACCTATTATATACTGATCTGTAAGTGCTCGCTGTCACAAGTCCTAAAGTTCTCTGTACGTAAGATATTCTATTTTCATGCTCAAAACAACTCATCTGGAATAACCATTGTCCATTTTTAATAGCAATCACAAACTCCAGTTGCTCAATAAACATGTTATGAGAGAGTATGAGACATCTACCCTTTTCACCCCCCATGTCTAAACTCAACTTGTGAGTCCCAAAGGGTGGCTGAAGATACTTAAGGAGCAACAAATCTGTGCTATGTTGCCTTGAGTATGTGCTCCTAGCCTGAGTACAAACTCATTGAGTAGCACCTACAGATCAAGAACCAATGCTGGCCAGTTGTTAAGAGTGAATGAAGCCTATAGCTATCTATAAACCCATCACCTCAGCTGGGTTTGCAGTGAAGTGCCTATAATCCAAGGCTGTGCGTTTGAGATTCCCATGCTTTGCATACAGAAGGTCCTAGGTTTGATCTCAGCCATTCAGTAGTATCTGGTGCTCACTGGGACTGGCAGGGTGGAAGGAAGGAGGACGAACAGTAGGTGGAGCCAGAGCACCAATGACTGGCAGAACCAACTCACTCTAGTTTTGCTCCCTTCCCTTCTGAGTTCTACAAGGGCAACAAGACCAAGGAAGAGGATGCTAATAGCCAGTGCCATGCCCTGGACTGGTTGCAAGCAGGAAGGCAGGGAGCTGGCGGGAGCTGGCTGAGGGCAATGCCCCGTTTGCCCTAATGGACCAGCTTCCATTATCTACTGTAGCAAGTCCTGAGAACCCTGAGACCCCCCCCCCCTGGAGAGCCACTGTCTGTCAGAGTAGGCAATACTGGTCATCTGGTCTGGTTTAAGGAAGCTTCCTATGATCCCATGAGTGTTGACATTTGACCCCTTTCCCTTAAGTTAGGGTGACCACCCTTTCCCCCAGTCTTGCTCCTGAGCCTTTAACAGCAGCCTGCTCCATAGAAATTTAGCTGGTGGAGCTTTTGCTGCCACATATTTCCATGGCAGGAAAAGCTTCCCGTTAACTGCAGTGGCTGGTGTCTGTTGGGGCTGGTTGGGCGGATGCAGGGAGCCTAGTCAGTAGGTGGCGCCAGAGAGCCAATGACCTGCAGAACCAACTCATTCTAGTTTTGTTCCCATCCTTCTCCTCCCTGCTGAGTTCTAAGTGGAGATTCAGGCGCAAGAGGAAGCTGACAGCCAATGCTGTAAGTAAGAAGGCAGGCAGGCAGGCAGGCAAGGGCTGTTTGGAGGCCAATTGTGGATCAGTGCCCCATTTGCCCTAATGAACCAACTTCTACGGCCTGTTAAGCCACTGACTGCAGTGTGGTGTTCTGACTAGGGAGTCGCAGGTTCAAATCCCTGTTCTGTTATGAAACTGAGTGGATGATTTGGGCTATCAATTGGCCTAAGAGAGCTGTTGCAAGACTAACACTGGGATATTATTAGGGTAAAATGGGATAAGCCCATGTATTTTGCCCTGGTCACTCTGGATCAGATTGTGATGAATTAAACATAGAAATGGGGACTGCTGCTGAAATGCCACCGAAAGTGAAATCCAAAATGAACTTGTAGGCTCCTCCACAGGCGAAGCCTCTGCATAATTTCAAGAAAAACCAAAAGAGTTCAAATAAAACTAGCAACATTTCCCAGGAGATTTTTGCGCATGCACCCATGTGTGTGTGTGTGCGCACACACACACACACACACAGGTGCACTTTCCACCTAACACAGACTTTCCGTGTTAAAAGGGCCACCCGTGTTCATAGGCCAGATAAATAGGCCAAAGGAAACCATCTTTGTTACAGTTTAATCTCACTCTTCCCGCAAGGAGTTCAGGATGGCACTAACGGTCCCATCCGCCCCAATTCATCCTCACAACAACCCTGTGAGGAAAGTGAGTCTGAGAGAGCATGACAGGCCCAGAGCCAGCCAGTTAGCTTCATGGATGAGGAGGGATTGAGGGTGCTCCCAACACACCAGCCACTATACCACACTGCCTCCCATACAATAAGCATAAAAGTGTTTCCCCTCCCCATAACCACTAGTGCAACTCCTAAAATGATTCCTTCTCCTCTACCACCACCACACTGGTCCCCCCACATTCTGCCCCACACCATGCTGTTATCATTGTATAGTTGGTTGTGTGTGCGCGCCCCCCACAAATGTAACAAACCTAGCACAAATGCAGCACACATTCTGCTTGACCCCTCTGTATCTCATGCTAGATTAAATCTCACCCATTAGCTCAGTGCCAGAACCCACCCCAAATACCTCTTCCTTTCTCCCAGCTCCACAGCAACCACATCTCTTCCCTCCAGCAAATACTGTACCATATTCATCTGTGGCGGGGAATACAATCTTACAGCAATGTCACCATCTGGGATTAAACATTTGTGGGTTTGTTTGTTTTCAGGGGCGCGCAGTGAGACAGAAATATACACTGTATTATATGCAAAATCTTGCTCTTTTTGCTTGAAACCCATCTCTCTTTCAAGTAGACTCACACATCCAGCAGAAAAACACAGAGGGGGGAGGAGGAGGGGTTGGGAATAGCTCCTGGATGCAAGTTAAAACCTCAGAATTGCTGTTACAATTATAATATCACAGTCTATACACACAAAGGGCTCGTTCCGAGAATTTTGTATTTGTGCGCTAGCATTGAGAATTCACATGCACACCGAGGGTATAGAATTCACATAGACTTCAACGTTGAAAGGAATTCACTTGAGCGACCACAGTACATACTCTCTCAAAGAGGGCAATCTGCCAAGAATTAATGGGAAATATGCAAACATTAAATCTACTCCTGCCACACACACACATACACACACACACACACACACACACACAAACAAACAAACAAACAGTTAAATAAGATGCACATATAAGACTACACACACATACACACACCACCCTCATCTTTATGCACCATGTAATCTAAGCACCAAGGCGTTAAAGGAGCCTCCCATAAATCAGGTACCCTTATGTGCACTAACATGAAGAGGGGTGGGAGGTAAGCGTAAACATAATTCAATTGACACCACCCTGTGAAATTGCACACACAAGCTAGAGAGACAGGAGCTAATAGTAATCACAAACACACACACCATTGGATAATCTAGACAGGTTGATGTTAAAAGGATTGAAGAGGAGCTCTTGCTTGCTTGCACTCTCTCTCTCTCTCTCTCTCTCACACACACACACACACACACACACACACACACACACACACAGTGCTGTAGAAAATCACAGGCACATGCATTACATACCAGTGCAACACCTTGACAAAGGTGTCCAAGCTACCCTAATGCTGCATGCTGTATTTAAACAGAACAAAACCAGTGAAACATACTAGTGCTATGTTGGAAGTGTGCTAAAGGGACAGTACCAAACTACGGGCTGGAATCACTCTCCTAACATAGAACACTGTTTTTAAATCACAGACATCCTGCCTGCCAGGCAGTGCAGTGCACAGAGAAAGGTGCAGAATGAATTTACATCCAGCAGTCCTCTCTCTCTCTCTCTCTCTCTCTCTCTCTCTCTCTCTCTCACACACACACACACACACACACACACACACACTATACTGGTGCAGCATACGGCTCATCTAAATGAGCAGTTCTGGCTGTTTTGCAACACACATACAAAATGCATTTAAAGGGATTTGTATCTACTAGGCGTCAAAAAATAAATAGGAAGATGGGTGTAGTGTTGTAAAGGCATGAACCCACACGGCTCCGTAGGTAATGTTATAGTTGAAAAGGTTTAACTGAAGGCAGCTGTTCGAAATCAGTTTTGTGTTTGTGCTTGGCTCTACAGAAAGCCAGAGAAATCTACAGAAAGGACGCTGAACCGTACATGCTTACTAGGTGTAACGGGAATCACACACACTGAAAAACATGAGATTTCATATGAAGTGGCATGCAGTGTTTTGTATTGACTATACGCACATATATGTACTAGCAAGGGAAGTTCCCACCTGCACAGACTCCACATCTCTGGGGGAGAGGAGGATTATGCCAATAAAAATTGCTTCCCATGCACCTCAGTGTAATAACAGAACCGCACAGAAACGAGTTAAGGATGTGTGTTCTCTTCACTAACTTATTACCAAAGAATCCAAACACATCATCGTCAGTCTGTGCTGTTATGTACCAGAGAAAACCCAGACTTCATCCAAGAGGATCTGAAGGAATTCACTAACACACCAACCAGAGGGCTTAAAAGTTAAGCATCTGCAATGCACATCAGGTGCTACAAAACAGCCATTCCGCTGCCCCTCAAGGAAAGGCCACAAGCTCACACCCAGGCCAAAGTTGTCCAAAGTAACACAACACTGGGCGAATCATCCAGAGTGGGAACCCAAAAGAGCAGCATGACATTAGCGAGATTCTCTTTTACTTAGGGCCAGCCAAGCAGGTTACAAGCTTCTTAATTGCACAGAACTCCGGGGCTGCCGGGGAAGAGTCCTGTGTAACTCTGAGGCTTCCATCCTCTTAGAACTATTAGCTGATCTGAGCCATGATAACCCCTCTCCTCATTCTGGGTCTCTAATGCAGATGGACACACAGAGAGAGCAACCTGCCTTGAAGCGAAGGAAAGGCGATTCCCAAGCAGGACAATGTAGCAGCTGCGTTACTAGCAGGGATTTCAGCGCACTGTTGGGAAGGGAGGTGGGCTAAGCCGGGGTCTGTATCTCTCACCTTGCTGTTAGAATCCCACCGGAGCTTTGAGATCCTTGCTCTTCCACCGCACCTGCATCGCTTTCCTGCTTTTTATTCTTAGTTATCTCTCCTTTTTTTCTCGCTCCAACCTTCCAAGGGGTGGCTGGGAGTTGGGATGGGATGTCACCCGTTCCCTCTTTCTTAAGGGAGGGTATCTTCTTGAAGGGCCGGTGACTACGCGACCCCCAAGCGACGATGGGTCTCTATCGCGGAAGGCCCCATCCAGAAGTTTGCTTCATCCAAAAAGTGGGAGAAGGAGAAGAAGAGGAGGAAAGAGAGAGAAAGAGAGAGAGAGATGGATGAGAGGAGAAGGGGCTGCAGTCTTCTTCGAGGAGGGGGGACACGACAGAATGAAAGAGGGAGAAGAAGGAGGGAGATTTGGGAAGGGGGGGCGCGACGAATGCAGCAGCCAGCCGCGGTTCTGTGGGGTGGGAGCAGGAGGGCGAGCTGGCGGTGGTCAATATGGAGCTGGGGGCCGGAGGAGCCGAGCTGGGGGGCCGGAAGAAGGAATGCAGCAGGAGCAGCAGGAGGGAGACGGGGAATGACAGGATGAAAAGGGAGCCAAGCGGACGAATGCAGCAGGGGGAAGAAGGGAGCGCGCGAGCAGACGACAGAACGAGGGACGCAGAAGGAGAGGAGGGGAAGAGGCAGAGGGGCGAAAAGAGGGGTGCAGGAGAGGGGGGAGGCGGGGGGGGTTGAAAAGGGGTGCAGCGGATGGGGAGGGGGAAAGGGAAGCCCTCGAAGGGACGAAGGAATCGGGACGCGGAAAAGGGGGAGAGAGAATAGAAGAGGGATCCCGGCAGAAGGAGAGAGAGGGAAGGAAAGGAAGAGGGTCCGGAGGAGGAGGCGGAGGAGAGGGGAGTGCTATTGGGGGGGGGGTTGTTTCCAGGCAGGAGGCAAAGGACTGAAAAAGCCACGCAATGGCGAGAGGCTGGGGGGGGGGGGCAAGGGAATGCAGCAGCAGAGAAAGGGAGAACGAGCGAGTGGGGAGCGATCAGAAATCGCAGCAGGAGGAAAACCCGTTGGGGGGGGAGTCAGGGAGCGCAGCAGAGATGCGGGTAAAAGAGGGAGGGGGAGAATTAAATCAATAAGTCCCGGTTGGGGGAAAGGAGGGTCTCCCTCAGCCAAAGATAGCCTCGTTATCTGGAGGGCGACCCCCAAAAGGGGGGGGAGAGAAGGGTGGCTGTGCGGGGGGGGGGAGGGATCGTTGGATGGAAAAAGAGAGCGGGAGAGGGGGGCTGCGGTGGAGGCGCGCCGGAGGAGGGAGGAGGAGGGAGCCCGAGAGAGAGAAAGGCTGCTACCGATTTTGTCCTGGGGGGCTTCGATCGGGCAGTGATGCCGCAGTCGGGTGCCGAGAGGTGGCTGCCTGTCTCTCGGTCCCCCTCCCTCCTGCTTTCCCCCTCTCTCCCTCTCCCTCTCACACACTCGCACACTCACACGCACGCACACAAACACACAGGCTGGCACGCACAGGGCGCCCCCGCGGCCGGATCCCGCACGATCACGGGATCCGCTTGGCTGGGAACTGACGAGGGGCGCGAGGAGAATTCACAATCGCCCCAGCACACACACACACACACACACACACACACACACACACACACACACACACACACACCCCAGCCCGGCTCCCTGCAGCTGGCCGTGATGTCAGAGGGACCACTCTTAAAGGGACACGACGCCCCGGCTTCCCGCCCCGACCTCGCCAGCCGGGGGGAAAGTGGGCTCGTCTGCTGGGTGGTGTGTGTGAGAGAGAGACAGAAAGCGGATAGATCTGAATAGGAGAGGAACGCACAGGACAGATAGCAAGCGGTGAATATCCGAAACGTGGGGAATGTCGACATTCTCCATACGTCCGACACTCGCGGTAACATTCGCTCTGCCCGCATTCACATGTGTGTGGAGCGCGCGTGTGTTGGTCTAGACTGTCGACAGTCAGATATAAAAGTCAGCCTTCACCAAATTTCGGACAATGAGCTAGCCTGGATGTCTGCGTATGTTTTGGTACACACACACACACAACATACGTGTGCCTTAGTGCGGGCATCTGAGCCCAATACATTCACAAAACCGACCTGGGATTATCAGCATTTCGTCTATGAAAGCGAAGAGTTAACCGATGTTTGGACAGTCATTGTAGCCTATGGAGGTGTTTTTCCCCTCTTGGTACCTGTCACATACAACAACTATCATTAGCATCATCATCATTATTACCTTTATCAGCAGCACCAAAGATTCACAGCTGATGCTGCTGAGATAATGCCAAGTAAATACAGTTCGTTAAAAATGTCAATGATAACAAAACGAGACACCCACAACTGGCACCTGCGCCTTAGAACACCACCTTGTTTTCTGCACACCTCTATGAAATGCACGTAAATCTCCTTCTCACCACCGCGCGGGCGCGGAGTCCCCCCTAGTGTGAGCATCAGGATGGGTGGCGAAGGGAGAAAAGAGGTTTTGAAATGAGCCTTCATACGAGGAGTTCCTAGGACTGGCCGTGAGGGGACTGAGCGTCGATGCTCTCTGGAGCCAGAAATCTTGAAAAGGGGAGGGAGATCTGGCTTGGCTTTCTTTTTTCCTTTTTTCCTTTTTATTTTTTGTAGTCTCGGTTCCTGAGGTCTCTTCGGAAGCTGAAGGGACTCCAGCCGAAGTCAGGAGGACTCCTGGTCTCTCCCCATGAGAGCCTCGTTCACAACAGAAGATGATCCTGTTGACCCACAAGAAATGACCCAATCCCATATTAGGGCAAAACCTTTATCAGATCCTCATTAGATATCATGGCCTTATGAAGCTTATTGCCATAGTTATTAATATGAGTTTTGGTCACGTTGGAAGCTTCAGATTCCTTGGATCTCCAGGTGGTAATCTAGTGAGTTCACAGAACTGGGTTTTTGGGTTCCCTTGGTATGTGGAGGAAGTAAATGGGAAGAAACTGGGAGAGGAGCAGCTGTAGACAACTGGGAGGCAAGAAACTGGGAGACGAGCCAGCAGCTGCCGTAGCTGAGGATGATGGGAGTTGTAGTCTCCAAAACGTCTGAGGGGCACCTGGTTGCGGAAGCCTGAGTCACAGGAGAGACACATCAGTGGGTTTTAAAAATTTATTGTTGTGATTTATTCATCACCTTCCGCACATGTCCCAAGGCGATGCACAAAATAGGATTGAAACAGCTAAATAGCAGTTACAAAAATAAACAGAAACAATGCAGAATGAACACTGTATGGGAGACACTTATTCACCCAGCTGGGTGCAGCAAAAGTGTCTTCTGGGGAAATGTAGAGAGTGGGTGCCTGGCCTATCTCAACAGGGGGCGCTGTTCCACAGAGCAGGGGCAGCCACGCTGAAACCCCCGGATACCTCAAGATTTACTGTTTGGAGCTGAGCTTCTTACCACTGCAGGAAATAGGAGCCAGTGCTCAAGGAAAGTGGCAACAGGTAAAGGGCCCCAGGGGCTGATGGGAAGTGAGGGCCTGAGACAGTAGGAGCAAGTTGTAGGAGCTTGTGGGAGCCTGAGGAGCAATGAAACTGATGGGGCTGGGTGGGAAGGAAGAAAAGGACTGAGACTCAGGTAGATATAGCTGTAGGCGTGAAGGAAGAAGGAGGGTGTTGTGTACTGAAGTTCTCACCCTGGGCCAGCAGGGGGGTACTGTAGATAGTTTTCACTCAGGTCCACATATGCAAATAAGGGATCAAAAGTGACGTTCAGTGATTGGATAGTTACAGAAAGTTGTTACAGTTACGTTGTACTGGAGCTCTATATAAGCAGGCTGGCAGAACCCTTCAGTTCAGTTCTTTTCTGACCTATGAATAAACAAGAGCTGTTTGGAGAATCGCTGTGTCGTCTGATATGTTTACCCACAACTTAACAGAGGGTCTGTTTCAACATTTCAGCATGCTTTAATCTGATCCTCTGTGTGTGGGAGCTAGGACTATTCAGGGCCCACACTTTGCACGTGCTCAGAGGCACTCTTTTTAGTACAGTGGTACCTCAGGTTGCAGATGCTTCAGGTTATAGACTCCGCTAACCCAGAAATAGTACCTCGGGTTAAGAACTTTGCTTCAGGATGAGAACAGAAATCACGCGGCAGCGGCAGCAGGAGGCCCCATAAGCTTAAGTGGTACCTCAGGTTAAGAACAGTTTCAGGTTAAGAATGGACCTCTGGAACGAATTAAGTTCTTAACCCGAGGTACCACTGTACTACTTCATACACTCACATGCCTCTTGAATTTTTGCATGCCATGTATTTGTTAAAAAAGCAACACAAACACACAGCCGTGCTAGGGGGAAAAAGAAGTTGCCAACTTTGCATTTATTTGTTTGTCAACTGTATACCCGCACCTTTCCTCCCAAAGAAGGAGCCTAGAGCGGCAAACAAAATGATATAAAAAACTCTTTAAAACAATTCCAATACAGATGTAGACTGTAGAAACATGCAAACATTCCCCAGTAAGCCTTCAGTGAACTTCAAACCACAACCAGGCACTCGAAGAATCTGAAAAGATAAGATACCACAAAACCCCAATTTGCAACCCTGTCCCCTCCAGAAGTCAGCCGGGCCTTCCCATTCTGTTGCAGAACTGGGCTTCTTTGGTACCAGGTGCTGCAAAAACACCAAATGGCGTCCATTCCTCGCCTTGAGGCATTTTGAGTGGGCGAATGTAGAGATATATTTATCACCAGACAGTAACAGAACAGAAGCCTCCTTTTATCCTTCTCCCCCCACAGCCCACAAACTCAGCCTCCCTCTGCTCCAGTGACAGAGATGAGGGAAGATGGAGAGAAATCGCAGAGCTGGTGAGACTGTAAACAGTCAACAGGAGGAAGGTGGCCAAAGGGTAGGCTGGAAACTGCAAAAGTTTTGAGTTGTTTCTGCAGAGGGTATTTAGAAATCTCCAACTCCTTCTGTGAGATACGATAGGCTGAGATATTTAATTTGTAAAATTAATGTCTCAAATATGCAAACACAAAGACACAAATCACCTCCTTTATTAAAATCAATAACATGAATACAAAAACAACATATTCCTTGATCTGTGGCTGACATACTCCTCTGTTGTTATGTTCTTTAATCAAATGTGTGATCTACCAAGCTGTTTACTCTTAATTCTTCATCTAGGCCCCCAAAACTGAGAGGTGTTTTTTTAAAAAAGAAAGAAAGAAAAATATGCAGAGGTAGTCTTCTCAGGGTTGTTGTCACAGTCACACATCACTTGCTTGGAGACCACTTTGGATCATGCAATGAGGTCATCATTGTGCGTCATGGGAGGCAGCTGCCACCACCCTGTGACACTTCCTTCTCCTTGCCTTCTCCTTTAGTATTGTGATGTCATCACACCCAGCATTTCCAGGGCCCTGCTCCATTTCATTGACCACTGCTTGTTAATGGCAGCCAGAGAAACACTGAGTGTGATTGCTTTATGAGTATTTTTATTAATAATAATATTTATACATTGCTTTTCAACATAAAAGAAATCTGTAAAACCTAATAAAGCAACAATAAGAGAGCAATTAAGACCAGTCAAACAAACCATGAAGCAATGAAAACAAAGCATGTAAAATCCAGGGATTCTGCATAAAACAAAAGCTGCCATTTTTTAAAAAAAATCCTTTCACACCATCTATGGGCATTGTTGTTGTTGTTGTTTAGTCATTTAGTTGTGTCCGACTCTTCGTGACCCCATGGACCAGAGCATGCCAGGCACTTCTGTCTTCCACTGCCTCCCGCACTTTGGTCAAACTCATGCTGGTAGCTTCGATAACACTATCCAACCATCTCGTCCTCTGTCATCCCCTTCTCCTTGTGCCCTCCATCTTTCCCAACATCAGGGACTTTTCCAGGGAGTCTTCTCTTCTCATGAGGTGGCCAAAGTATTGAAGCCTCAGCTTCAGGATCTGTCCTTCCAGTGAGCACTCTATGTGCATGGTGCTGTACAAATAACAAGTTTGAAAGGACTCAACCCCAAAGGACTTAAAATGTAAAAGAGACTCAGGGAAGCAGCAGATGAAGGGGGCAAATGGAAATGTGAGGATGCAAAGGAATAATATGCGATTGCATCAATTAAATGTTCTTTAGCTTAGGGCCTGGGCAGCGGGCGATCCAAAGACTTTTGGGAAATGTGAGGTTTGGACTTGAAGCAAACAGGACTGATGGTCACACAGAGGCGTTATGGGAGGTGGTTCCAGGCATGGGCAGCAGCAAGAGAAACTGGGTAGAGTCCATTCAGGGTGCAGGAGACCCTTGGACGACTGAGCA